ACTGGGGCATACTGGCTGGGGAATTCTAGGAGTTGAAGTCCACACATCTTAAAGTTACTGAGTTGAGAAAACCACTCTAGACATCAGATACTGTTGAGAAACTTTGCTCTAGGCGGAGTAATTATTACAGCTTCTCTTCTCTGGGGTTGCAGCTTCCATAATTGCTGGCCAGTGTGTATCTTTTGGCCACCATGGCTGGGAATTCTGGAATTTGCAGTTCCACCACACTCCAGGATTGCCTTATCTGACCAAGCAGAGATGTTTTAAGGAATATGGTTAAGAGTCCACCGAAGAACAGAATCAGGTAAGAAACATGGCCCGAAGCAGAACTGGACAGAAGGGAGGGATAAAACCAAGGCCCCTGAAGAAAGTTAAAAAAATGTTAACATCACAAAAAAGAGATGACAGACTGTGGAGGAGAAAGGGGTGAAAACATTCTCAGTGAGTTGAGAAAGAGAATTCAGACATCTCTGCCCCTTTGAGGGAATTTGCCATGCAACTAGAAGGCGAGAACAGCCTAGGGTTTCTTGCCTATAATACTGAACTGTGTACAAAGATCTCCATCCATTTGCCTAAACAAATAATCAGTGCTATATGGAATCTTCCAAACTCCAAAAACTGGAAGATGATGGTCTGATTTTAAAACAAGTAGGATTATGGTTATGGGCATCAATGGGAAACTGGGTTTTAAGGAGAAATTGAAAGAAAAGAAACATGTGGAGAGATGCAAGGGCTCTGCACACTTAAGATATCTGAGTGCCGTTCAACAGCCTGGGACTGAGACCCCCCTTGTAGCCTTCAACTGTTACAAGTGGGCTCAAACCATCACCAGACAGAAGCTCAAGGCAATGAGTAAACAGATATATCAACTATCAGCTGGTTGCTAGGATTTCTGTAACATGAAATGAGTTAGCACTTTCCCAGTAAAGAACACAGCTCACAGACCAGAAACCCTCTGGTCCGGCCACCTGCAGTCTATGAAAGAGACTTCTCCTCAGGTGTGGCAACATCACAGTACTTGAAGCGCGGCAAGCCATTTCCAGGTTCCTGTGAGGAGGAGGTGGGAGTTTAAATAATGCAGGAAGTGCAGGAGAAGTTACAAGGGAGATTTGCCACTTGCATCTCCAGCTGCAACAAGTTCATCTCCTGCAATTCTGCAATGGTGAAGTCTCAAGTTTAACTCTGCCCCATTGCCCCACATGGGTCTCATTTTTGACAAAGAGGGGGTAGAGCGTTTCGAAGAGCTTTGTTTCTTAACTCTATTGGCAGCTTAAGAACACGAAGAATTACATCAATCACTTCTCATGGATTGCAGGGAAACCAAGGTTTCTTGTCATGTTATGCATGTTAATTGGCAGGGCTGCGGCAACAGTATTCTCCCAAAGGCTGGTGAAGCTTTCCAAAAGTTTTCTCAGATTATCTGCCTGTTCGTGCACACTTTCACTGGGACTGCCAGTGAACCCACCATGCACAAACACACACAGATGCTTGCACAGAAATCATGAGAAGGCAGCTCTCCTGAGCTTTTCAGAGGACACTGCTGCCTCAACACAGATTCGTTCTTTGCAAAATGCCTCTTCAAATGCTTTGCACACCTGTATGGACCAAACGCCTCAGCAGGTACAAGCACCTGGCCAACCTTGTCTAACTGAAGGCTAGACTGGGAAGTCAGAAACATTCCAGAAGGAAGACATGGCAAACCACCTCTGTATCTTTCCCAAGAAAACCGCATGGACATGTCCATGAATTCAGAGGTGTCCAGCTGCCGGCATCAGGAATATTTCTGTTACATCGAACTGTTGCTTTGCTAATGGTCACTTGCTCTTGGGCATTCTACCTCTCCTTCCCTCCCCCCCCCCTCCAAGAACCCTCTGTAGGTGGACATCTCACATCCTCCTCATATGACTCTGTTCTCTGCATTTGATGAAGTGGGCTGGGGGATCCAGAAAAACAGATGTGACCTTGAATTTCTTAGCTCATAAGGTGTCCATGAGTTTCTTTGCATGTGCCACACCAATCTGGTTTCTTAAATTCACAGCCCATTCATGCCATCATCTCAAACATTCATTAGGGACACTGAAGACTTCCTGGAGACCCTCAGAACAAGGCATGCACCCCTATACAGCAAAGACCCCTTAGGGGTCTAACAGCCATGCTTCCTATCAGCTACTTTCCTTCCCTGTCAACTGATCAATCTCCACTCTCCCCACTTTGGTGTCTAGGTTTTGCCCACTTTTGGTTAGTAGGAACCATTAACTGCTAATAGTGAGATAATGCCATGAGAGTTAAACCGTCTATCAGCAGAGGAATGCAGAAAGTGACAGCGGCTTCCCTCTGCTCTCTCCTACAATCCCCTTGAGGGTTCCCTACCACCCTGGAGAGAAATTTCATCCAATGAAGGGCCAAAAGTATGAGTAACGGGACACTTCAGAGTCTCGTTACTCATACTTTTGGCCCTTCATTGGATGAAATGTCTCTCCAGGGTGGAGAGAAAACTCATGGACACCTTATGAGCTAAGAAATTCAAGGTCACATCTGTTTTTCTGGATCCCCCAGCCCACTTCATCAAATGCAGAGAACAGAGTCATATGAGGAGGAATGGCAGGTATAAATACTCCATCCCATTCTTTTTGGAGGAGGCAGGGACCCAACCTGGTTTTCTTTTTCTCTCCTTAGGAAAGGTGATGTAGGGAAAACCGCCAGGTGGATGTTACGCAAACATACCAGGCAAAGCAATGCATTCTTGATTCCGGCCTTCCCACTGACAATTCTGGTCCAGGCTGCAGCTCTTACAGCTTGTCTTTTTGTTACAGTAAAAGGCAGGGTTGTCCTTGGGGCAGCTTTCAAAGGAAGTAATGGGGGTCTACAAAAAGAAGCAAAAGGTAAGCTTTCTTTCATCAACATTTCTGCAGTTGAGAGTGATTTATTTGGTCTGCACTCCTTAGTCACAAAACAACCCATCAGCATGAAAAGGAGCCCTGAGGCAGGGTCAAGTGAGGTCCCACCAAGTCCAGCATTTTGTTCCTGCAGCAATCAGGTGATATGCCAAGGAGAAGCCCACAAACAGGACACAGACAGGGGTTTGGATGCATCTCAGATTAATTTAATTTAATGTTCCTGATCAGATAGGTCTTGCCATGGATTCCTTCCACTGAAAACTCAGATGATGCCTTCAAAGTTCACGTCGTCCAAGATTATGTTGGATAACCATCTACTGCTTGAACTGTTGAAAAGCCTTCTGAGGGAAAGCCATCGTTCTCAAGTACCACCCCTTCTAGGTGACCAGGAAACATGTTAAAGAGCTGTTAGGGCACACGCATATGCATGTGGGCATGCGCACACACACACATACATAGGTGGTCCTCACTTAACAACCATTCCCTCAGCGACTATTCAAACTTACTACAGTGCTGAACAAATGCTAGTTACAGTCAGTCCTCAAAGTTACCGCCATTGCAGCGTCCCTGTGGTCACATGATCAAAATTTGGATGCTTGGCAGCCCACCCGCATTTACGACCACAGCATGCGCTTCAACTCTCCCCACCTGCCTATCTCCTTTCCCATCTCTGCCCTTTTGGCTGTCCTGCACTCCGCCACCTACCCCTGCTGCCCCCCACCATCCCCAGCTAATTTTCACTGTCTTCTACCTCCGGCAGCTGACACGCAAAGAAGATGGCAAAGGTCAGTTGGGGGTGGCAGTGACTGTTAGCGGGGGTAGGCAACGAAGTGCAGGGCAGCCAAAAGGGCAGTTTGGGTGGGGGAGTTGAAGCAGAGGCGAGCGTGGAAGGGCAGGAGAAGTGTGAAGTCCTCATCTAACAACTGCAACTGGGACTATCGGGACTGCCGTCACTAAGCGGTGCGGTCATGTGATGTTTTGTCTAACAGCTGCTTCGCTTAGCAACAGAAATTCCGGTCCCAATTAGGGTCAGTAAGTAAGGACTACCTGTACACAAAAAGGAGGAAGCCCTTAGGGTTGGGCCACAGGTTGGCTTGCTTCATAAGGCTAGCCAAATAATCTGGCCAGTACTGGAGACACAAGTCACTCAGTCTTATCTCCGTCGTGCATGTATGACTTTCACAATCCTGTAATTGCCCCAACTAAGTGGAGAGCTGCAGATGTAGAAGTCACTGGACTAAGAATCTGAACCCTCGTTTTAAACTAAGTTGATTTTATTTTGTTAAACTAAAGGGCCTGGAAGTAATCAGTACATCTTGTGAAATCTCAAAATCCACAGAACAGGCCAAGAAAAATTTTACGGCTGGTTGATGGGGAGGGGGGTGCATCCCCAACTATCTTGCAGAACCCTTCTATGTGATAGTCCATCCATCCATCCATCCATACACACATACGTGTGTGTGTGTGTGTGTGTGTGTGTGTATTTTGCAGGGTTTATGTAGACAATGATTCTCTCGCTTCCATCCTTCTGCAAACAGCTGAACTCAGGAGTTTCAGCCCACCTAGAACTCCAAATCAGTATCTTCCTAACTAAGACAGCTCCAGTTGCTGACAAATATTTTTTTTTACAGAGGTGGCAACAAAGAATGCAATTCTTTGAAAGAAAAAGCAGAAACGGTTACCTGGTCTTCTGAGCAATTGCTGTTCTTTGACATACACTGGTCAGTGCACCAATGACACCAGTTTGTGTTGGCTGTACAGCTGTAGCAGTCTGTGATCTGATCACATTTTTCATGGTCCACGGCTAGGGAGGGAGAAAAGCCAGTATGATCGAAACCTCCATGATTAATCACCAGCATCTGGTGACTGAATGGGAAAAGGTTTATTCATCTACCCCAAGGATGCCACAAGCAGCAGATGTGCTCCGTGGGGCCAGTTTCCCTGCAGTTCAACTGAACCAACTACCTCGATTTCATTGACTTGTAAGGAAAACTTCCAGACCACAAGGTTAGTCCAACAGAGGGACAGTCGACCTATGGAGGCTGTGGGTTCTCTGTCTCTAGAGGCTTTGAAGAAGAGGACGGTCAGATAACTCTCAAGGATGGTTTAACTGGTCTTCCTGCACAATGCAGAGGGTTGCACCTAGATCAGAGTTTCTTAAACTTTTTGCTCTCAGGAACGCTTCCCACTTTGAAAAATTATGGAGGACCCCAAAAGAGCTTTTGTTTGTCTGGGTTCTATATATCGTATCAACATTTACCATATTAAACTGAAGCTTTCGTGGCATATTTATTCATTGAATCATGCAATAATAACAATATTAAACCCATTAGATATTAACATAAATGAAGCATTTTTCATGAAAAAAATCCTGCGTTTTGTAAACAAATACTGTACAAAATAATAACGAGAAGAGTGACATAATTTCACATTTTTGCAAGTATCTTCAATATCTGGCAAATCATTTTGATTTTGCAGACCCCTGAGAGGGTCTTGGGTGACCCCCAGGGGTCCTCGGAGCACACTTAAGAAACACTGCACTAGATAATCCTTCTGGTCCCTTCCAATTCTACAATTCCATAATTCCATGGCCATATCAGTCTAAGCCAGTGTTTCTCAACCTTGGCAACTTCAAGATACATGGACTTCAACTCCCAGAATTCCCAAGCTAGCATGGCCTAAAAACAGGAATTCAGATGCGTGAATGCTCCTCCATACAAAATAAATTCTTCTCAAAGGAAATGTTGACCAGTGCATGGAGGTTTTACAGAGAAGAAAGGTAAGAGATCTCTCACCTTTGCATTAAGAAGGGGAATCAGTGAAGGAAGGCTGAATATACTTTTATTACAAGCACTGAGTTTATAAAAGATTGGTCACGGATCTCTCACATGCACTTTTGGTCTTCTGGATGGCGCAAAGTAAGTCACGCTGCTTCTTGCTTAACAAGGCTTGTTCCTGTATAGCTTTGACAACGGTATTCTTAATAAGGGATTCTGCTCCTATATAGTCTGTCAAGTGATAGAAACAAAAACTCCCTGGGTGACTTTGGGGTAAGCCAGTCACTCTGTCTCTTACCCCAACCCCAACCTGTCTTATAAGATTGTTGTTCTGGGAGAAAACAGGAGGAGGGGGCACTATGTATCTCACCCTGAGCTCCTGAATGTAGGATATAAATCAAATCAAATCACAAAGGCATTTATCCCCCTCCCCAAAAAACACGAAAGATTATCTCAAGTGCCCGAAGAAAATATTTCATTGCACAGTAGCCCAACAAAGCTTCAGAAAACAACTTCAACTCAGAACATTTGAGCTGGTAGGCACAATGCCCTTAATAAATGAATGTTCTAAAATCCACTGGGCTTCTGTACAATAAAATGTTCCCTCCTGGCACTTGAGATGCTCTCACATTTCAGCCCTGGATTTTCCACCTCACCCAAACCACACAATCCACCATGAAATACTTTGCCACGAGGCCTGCTGAAGTGAACTGGAACTGGATAAGAAGCCAGAACTAGCTTCATATACAGTGGTACCTCGGGATACGAACGCCTCTACTAACGAACATTTCGGGTTACGACCAGCTTTGGCAGGAAAATTTTATCTC